AACTACAGACTGTTAAAGAACTATGCATTAGCAGTAGAGACCCGTTCGACGGAAATGAGTGAAGGATTTTTCGAACTAAAGTGAAGCTTCGGAATCACATGACCCAGTAACGATTTTGAGGAAGAACGGCAGTCTGATGAGCACTCCATGGCGAGTAAAAGTGAGTGAATAGATAAACTGCCTGGTGGGAATCCACTACACCAGGATTTCCCCATCAAATTGAACAGGGAGAGATAGAAGAAACTAAAAAGTCAAATTGTTCGTCCTCAATTCATGTAGTTATGATCAGCAATTTCACCGCTTCGAATAGAGCCAATCTTAAGCTCCATAATTCTAAGTTATGTTAATTTATGTTTCAACAGTCGCTCTAATCAGTTGTTCTTCAACTACAGGCATCCTCTTTCCCGTCCATCTCCGATTCCCTTTTATGGTCTCTGCATTACATTGCAAACTGATCTATTTTACAGGAAGGGGAAGGAGAATAGACTGACGCAACTCACCCATGGAAGAGTCTTGGTGTAATGACATTAATAGGGCAGTGGGGTGGTTCAAGACGACGTAGCTGACGTAACTCCGCTGCACGCTCTGCGGGAGACAAGCGGCAGTGGCGGGGTACAAAGGCTTCACTGGAAGCTGATGCGTTGACTGTGGAGGAGGAAGACGTCGATGAAGAAGCTGAAGACCATGGAGGCAGAGGAGAAAAGTGTCCAGCGCTATCTCCAACATCACCACCACTACTACCACCGCCACCACCACCACCACCCAAAAGGCCTTCGTCGGCGACGATTTTGGAACGGAGAGCCCGTGCAGCTTCCTGTAATGAAGCAATGGATCAAAGTTGCCCTATGCATGTCTCTCAGACTACTTGTACCGCTCTGTTGAAAATGACAGATGACGCCACAAATACTCCGAAAAAAGTGCATGTTGAGAGCGAGGCATTAACCATTCAAAAACTCCTCAATTTCCCCCATGGACCTACCAGAGATTGTCACTCCAATCAAGACTCAAAATATAAAGATAAGTAAAACAATTAATCAAATTAATGCACTAATTAACCGACTTTGTACATAAGGAGGACTCGGCATTGCTCTATTTCAACTCGATTCAACCACCCGGTCCAATGGTAGAGGAGGAATTGGGCCTCTTGATAGCGATGCTCTGCGTGTGCCTCTGTGGTTGCCAACTCCTGATGTGTTAAACGGCGGGCTGAGCTGACGATGTGTAGGTTGACAAAGCGGGCGTGCAGATGAACGTCCATCATCTGGATCCGTACAAGGGAAAAAAATATCTCCCCAAAGAAGGCCATCAAATCATCAGATCTGCAATACTGGATCGTGTCTGCTGAAATGTTTGACATTAATTCGAGAACGAAACGGATGAATTCACCTAGCAAACCTTTTTAATCACCTCTTAACAATGATGAGTACGAAAGCCGCTCCTTCCTACTGCGTGACCTGATCAGGCTCATCAAGCAAGATAATACTCTGAAGACAAAGTAAAATGATGCACTAAAAATAGCAATAAATGAGCATTTTTGAAGTTTCTCATGTAACGAGTGTATTTCTATGACGCATGTCAATGTTCTATTTAAAAAAATGTGATTCAAAAAAGAGGCCTACAAGATTGTCGTAGTAACCAGTGTAGTCCAGCACATGCTCGGAAAGGATATCCTTCACATGCGCCGAGGCCAGACAAACAATTAGGAGTGTTAAGGCACCTGCACAGATTCGTCTCACGCAGTCTGGACGCATGAACTACAAGGGAGAGATAATAACGACAAACTCGATGTCAATAAAGCATCACCAAGGGACTGCCCAAACATACCGTCTTGAAAGCAGACTTCGCGCCTTTTCTAAAACGATTTCGCTTCATGAGTCGCCGCTTCAAACCTGCAGAAGTTTGGCAAAAAAGGTGATGGAAGGCTCGAAACAATAAAGGGAATATTCGTGATCGCACCAACCTTTATCCGTGCAATCGATGACAATAGGCTCTCCGTAGAGAATTCTTTCCGCCGTATCTACGGTATGGAGGACACGATGCACGAGCCAAAAGCCGTCCAGAAACAGAGCAAAACAAAGGAGATGAACCCAGTTGAGCTGAAAGACGTCCACAATGCCACCATCTGCACTGGAGGGCTTTGAAGTCTCTCCCTGTTGGTGTGATGAGGGCCTTTTTTTCCTTGAACTTGACTGGAGGAGGTCTTTCGGCCAGTCTGTCTCGCCTTGATCAGACTTGCCATCGGCGTCTTCGTACACTGACCACGCTAGCTGTTCACTGTCCTATAGGGATTACGGGTTGGAACTAAATTACGACAGTGCCCTCATCCCGTTTTTATTTTGTAACAATCAAAATTAAACCGTCGGGAGCAATAAATCTTGAACTTCAAAACGATAAACCCTAGTGACTGCCCAATTGTGCGGCAACGGTCCTAAGACACTAAAACTTGCTGAACTGAGAAAGTGGTTTTCGTCTGGCTGATGTGGATAGTTCCGACCTTTCTAGTGCATTCCAGAACCAAAACAGTCGCTGCAATCTGAGAGTAATATATTCGTCACTTGCATTCAACATAAATTATATCCACAAAGTAAATAATTGTGTTTCGCAAATAAATTTATTGAAGATTCTCAGAATTAGATCTTGCTTGGAGTAGACAAGAGGACTACTGACGCCCTGTAAATAAGGCATCAAACAATTGCTTGTACTGAAAAGTCCATAGCCGTGACACCAATGAAAGAAGCAGAGCAAAGACGGGACAACAAATATGTCCATATTTTGAAGGAGCTTAGAACCAACTGAGAACCCACCATATCCGCAGCATCGGAGACAAATGGTAGATAGGATGGTCCGTATCTCGTTTCGAAGTTGTCGGCATCGCTCACGCCCCCACCCGCTTCTACCGCTTCATTCCATACGGGTGGCGTGGGTAGTCGCATTTTATCGGGATCGAAGTGGGGCAAGTGTGGAGGCAGACTAAAGGCGGAAGGCCCACCACTGGTTTGATAATTTGGATCATGAAGTGGAGGTGGCAAGAGCTTCGCCCACTGCAGAAAAGGTCGAGTAGGGTCCGCTGGGTCGGCTGCAAGGCCGCGTAGCCTCGCCACCTCCTCATAGATAAGTCTTGCACCCGCCAGCCAATCAGAGGTAGCGAGGAGGTCCTCGGTAGCCTCCAGATCAGCACGCAGCCGGCGCAGAGCCCATTGTGCAGTGGTGTTAAAGTTGGCCAGTCCACTGTCGAAGGTGAGGACGGAAGCAGCAGCGGCAACCCGGGCGTACTCCGCGACAGCCTGAGAGACAAGAACGCGACTTCGGCGTGAGGCAGCGCGCCTTGAGGCTACATCAAAGGCCTAAAATAAAAGGATTTGACTGATTATTTATTCATTCTTGAAATAACAATGAAATAGCTTCGGATATGAAAGTAAATTTCGTTATCAACTGCAACATATGCTGTAACCTGCTTTCAATCCTCAACAGACCAGAAACAAAGAACACTAAACCCACGTTTTGTAAATTTAGGAAGAATAGAGCGCGGTGTGAGCCCATATGTACATGGCCTGAGGTAGATAAAAGAGTGAAGACCCATTCCTCTACACCCAATACTCTTAAGAGCAAAGGGGATGAAAGTGGGATAAATGAATCCTCTAGTCCATCGCAGTAAATTTGCAATCACCCAACCCTCCAACTGCTTCAATCCTCAACAATGAAATGTCACTCACCCACCTGTTTAATCGCGCAGTTAGATGTGGTATAAAAAAGACTAAACCAAGGTCCGGAAATGAAAAAGAACAACCGAAATAGTACCTGTTCCATCTTGTCAAACATCTTATCAGTGCCCGCAGAACAGGCTTTGTGCATTTCTAGAGCCTCGCGCTGCTGCCGACGCAGCTCTACCTTGAGGTACGCGTCCATTGCATCCTTGAGCAACTTCTGCCGAGCTATGCTCACCACTGATTGACTATGGTCAGGTCCACCCAACCCGTTCCATTCCGCCATACTAGCCAACTGCTGGACTGACTCCCTTGGTGAAAAAAAGGCAACAACAATGATTAGGACTTTACATAAAGCCGAAAGAACAATTACGCAATCTGTGGCGAGAAAAATTCCCAGATATGTACCAGTACCACTCTATCTATCTATCCTTAGCAAATATTTCGAAAATTTGACTCGTGATTGACTGAAATGCCTAACCACCGCTCAG